ACAAGTCCGCAGCGAGAAAATACGCTCGCGGCAGGAAGCGAAGGCGGAAAGGATCCTGGAATCCACCACGAGACGTATTGGGGAACGATGGGAGACCGGCTTGCTGTGGAGAGACGCTGACGTAAGCCTACCGGAGAGTAAAACGTCAGCAACGCGCCGCCTCCTGTCCATTGAACGCAAGATGGACAGGAACCCCGCATTCTCTGAAGCGTACTGCGCCAAGATTGCACAGTATATTGACGACGGATACGCCACCAAGCTCACACACTCCCAGCTCCAGATGCCTTCTCAGAGAGCGTGGTACCTGCCACATTTTGGAGTGACAAACCCCAACAAGCCAGGCAAGCTGCGCCTAGTATTTGATGCAGCTGCGCCAAGCCACGGGGTCAGCCTCAACGATGCCCTGCTGCCAGGCCCTGACTATCTCAACCCTCTCACCAGTGTGCTGTTCAAGTTCAGACAACACCGCGTGGGGTTCGGAGGGGATATCCGACAGATGTTTCACCAAGTGCACATCCGACCTGACGATCAGCCTGCACAGCGGTTCCTTTGGCGAGGCAGTGACAGAGACCGTGAACCTGATGTCTACCAGATGAGAGCCATGACATTCGGCGCTGTATGTTCGCCAGCATCAGCCCAGTATGTAATGCGAAGAAATGCAGACGAATTCCGGCACAGCGCGCCAGATGCGGTTACTGCAATCCATGACAAGCACTACATGGACGACTACTTCGACTCGACGCCGACGGCAGAAGAAGCAGCCCAACGGATCAAGGAAGTGAGTCAAATCCAGGAAGCCGGAGGCTTCTCCATCAGAGGCTGGGTCAGCAACTCACCTGATGCTCTTGCTGCCGTACCCCCAGATATATGCTCACCATCGGTAGTCACTATTAGCAGCGACAACGAGACTGTAGTGGAGAAGACACTCGGTCTGAAGTGGTTGCCACGAGAAGACGCGTTCGGCTTTAGTCTGAGCCGTAGACTGGAGCAAAGCAACACAACAGAAGTGACAAAACGTGAAGTCCTACGCAAGCTGATGTCTGTGTTCGACCCCCTTGGTTTCTTTACCTACTACACCACGTCGGCTCGCATTCTGCTACAAGACATTTGGCGCACAGGCGTCGGATGGGACGAGCCACTGCCAGGATCTCTCGTCCAAAGATGGACAAACTGGTGGACGGGAGTGCACAACCTCGGAAGCAGGTCAATTCCGCGTTGCTACTGCACGGCTATTGCGGACAGAAAGGACCTGGAGCTTCACGTGTTCGGAGACGCCAGTGAGTCAGCATTCGCCGCAGCAGCCTACTTCAGGCTATCGCTACCTGACGACAGCACCAGAGTCGCATTCGTGTTTGGCAAGTCCCGAGTTGCACCGCTGAAGCCCATATCCATACCGCGGCTGGAGCTGCAAGCTGCACTGATGGCCAGCAGAATGGCCGACACCGTCCGGAAAGAGCATGATCTACCTATCGACCGCATCGTGCTCTGGAGTGACTCTATGACTGTCCTACGATGGATCAGAGCAGACGCCCGGCGATTCAAGCCATTCGTAGCACATCGTATCGGAGAGATTGAGGAGCTCACTGATGTATCGCAATGGCGGTGGGTCCCGACACACAGCAACCCAGCAGATGCAGCAACCAGAGCCCCATCCGAGATATCAGCAGCGCAGCACATCTGGACGAATGGTCCTGAGTTTCTGACCAAGCCAGAGTCTGAGTGGCCAGTAGAGAATCCTGGGCAAGACACTACCACCAGCGACGACCAAGCCGAGATGAAGGCAGAGTTTACTGCGGTAGTCACCAAAGAAGCGCAGCTAGCCCTGCCAGATATCAGCCGCTTCTCATCCTGGATTCGGCTGATGAGAACGACAGCATGGATCGTCAGATACGTCAACAACCTGCGTGCGAAAGCATCAAGCAAGCCCACAGTCACTTGCTCTGAGTTGCTACCATCGGAGTATCCGCAGGCCCAGAAGCTGTGGTGGAAGAAAGCACAGCAAGACAGCTTCCGGGAGGAAATTGGCGACCTGCAGAAGCACAGCAATGTGAGCAGCAGCAGCAGCAAACTTCGAGACCTCTCACCTGTGCTAGATAGCGACGGTGTGGTGAGAATGCATGGCCGAATTCGAAGTGCACCACCCGGAAGTCCACTGACGCCCGAGCCTGTCATCCTGGACCCGTCGCACCCATTCACACAGATGCTCCTTCAGCAGTACCATGTCTGGCATGGACACCATGGTCAGGACAGTGTGGCAAACGACGTCCGCCAGACGTATTGGGTCTTGAAACTACGCACAGCCGTCCGCCGTACCTGGACCGTATGCCAGCAGTGTAAAAATGAACGCGCGCAGCCAACACCACCTCAGATGGGACAGATTCCCGACGCACGCGTTGCCACGTTCATCCGCCCGTTCACACATTGTGGCATGGACTATTTCGGGCCACTGACAGTCACTATCGGACGACGTCACGAGAAGCGGTACGGCGTGATATTCACCTGCCTTACGACCCGAGCTGTACACCTGGAGCTGTCACACGACTTGACAACAGACTGTACCATCATGGCAATTCGTAGGTTGATCAGTCGCAGAGGGTGCCCTGGAGTCATCTACTCGGACAACGGCACCAACCTACGAGGTGCAGCAAGAGAACTCAAGGAATCGTTGGACCAGCTGGACCAGACACGCCTCACAGCTGAGCTCACACCGAGAGGAATCAAGTGGGAGTTCAATCCTCCGGCAGCCCCGCACATGGGGGGAGCGTGGGAGCGACTAGTGAGGTCCGTGAAAACCGCCTTGAGAGCCGTGCTCAAGGAACGTGCTCCGCGTGAGGATACACTCATCACGCTTCTTACAGAGGTTGAGGCGATACTCAACAGCCGCCCGCTCACACATGTGTCCTCTGACCCAACTGACGACAACAGCCTGACGCCGAACCACTTCCTCCTAGGGACGCCATCAGCAGCACCAGTGCCCGGAGTATTCAGTGGTGATGACCTACATCTGCGCCGGCAGTGGCGCATCGTGCAAGTGCTAGCAGACCATTTCTGGCGTCGCTGGATTAAGGAATACTTGCCAACGCTAGCCCGGCGAACCAAATGGCACGGAAGAACAGAGAAGAAGGTGGAAGTAGGTGATGTGGTGGTCATCGCCGACGACAACGCAGTGAGGAACACATGGCCGAAGGGGATAGTGACGGCGACCTTTCCCGGCAGAGACGGCCTGGTGCGGGTAGCAGATGTCAAGACGCAGACTGGTGTGTTCCGCCGGCCAGTAGCCAAGCTCTGCGTGCTAGATGTCCGTTGTGTTAGTGACGGATAAATCGTCACTGGGGAGAGGATGTTGCCCCCGTAGGCGACGTTGGCGGCAAGCAACACCCGTCGTATGCAACTTACTTTGCATCCACTGCTACACTTTCTGTAGTCTGGGCTTTATGTATGACTAACACTGCTATTGATGTATTGACTTTCAGTCGGCTCCAGTTACAACTGCCGGTACACATGATACATGAACTGTCTGACCCCTTTCATGCATTCGTATGCAGCTGTCACCTAACACCGGCACCGCTTTTGTCATCTACTTGTATTAGTATGTATCTTTTGCCGCTACGCTAGGATCGGGATGGTAGTCCGTGATCCGTAGGCGTAGAGGGGCTTGTTTTGCTTGGTGTGTTAGAGTTTTTAGGTTCCTGCTTCGGTGGTGCAGGTCACTAGTTTTTGGTCATTCTTGTTTTAGTAGGAGTTAGCTGTTTGGCATGAGAATGAAAGAGTAATAATACAGTCTTCTAATAATACAGTAACGACGTTACGTTTGTGGAATGGTGAATCAAGACGAGAGGTAAAAACATAGAGTGTATGATTGGAAAGCCCGTTTTCGCCGGACCCGTTCTACTACAGCACCAGTACTACAAGTAACATTAGTTCCAGCCTTGAGAAGCGTTCAGCTCCATAGTAGGCAAATACACACGGCACAGAGCACCACACGGCACAGAGCACCACACGGCACAGAGCACCACACGGCACAGAGCACCACACGGCACAGAGCACCACACGGCACAGAGCACCACACGGCACAGAGCACCACACGGCACAGAGCACCACACGGCACAGAGCACCACACGGCACAGAGCACCACACGGCACAGAGTACCACACATCGTTCCTGGTAACTGATAGCTTCATGCCCATAGGCAATCATCAGACAACTGATCAGTTGTCTGATGATTGCCTATGGGCATGAAACTATTGCATTGTAGTTACAACGAACGATGCTTGGTGCTCTGTGCCGTGTGTAAGTTAGCTCAATTCGAACCGTTCGGAACGAATTATGAAGCACTCTACCAAGTAGTAGGCAAATAAAAAATATTGTGACATGTTGATGATATTTTGAAGTAGTATTGCCTGCAAGTTCAGACATCCAACCGTGCCACACTTCACTCAGGCTGCGTTTACACGGAGACGAAATGAAACGGAACGAAAACGGGCTGGCCTCGAATCGTTTTCAAACCGTTTACACGAGAACGACAAATCGTTTTGAACCGTTCACGCGAAAACGGAAAACGGGCGATCAGGCTGGAGTTAGCACTTGTTGGCTTGGCGCAAGGGCGGGAAGTAACACGTTAGTTGGAGTTGGTACGTGCTGGTGGTCGCAAAGGTCAGGTATTTCCCGCGGAATGGTTTCCATGACCGCGCTCCGTTTCCAATCCGAATCGTTTTCACTGTTTTCACCGTTTACACGAGAATGAAAACGTTTTGAAAACGTTTTGAAACCGTTTCAAAACACTTCAGTGAAGTGCGTTTCCATTTCGTTCCGTTTAGGTATCGTTTTCGGACGTTGTCGTGTAAACGATAGTAGTAAACGCAACGATTTCGTTCCGTTTAGGTCCTACTTCGTTGTCGTGTAAACGCAAATCGTTTTCAATCGTTGTCGTGTAAACGCAAATCGTTTTCACTCGTTGTCCTGTAAACGCAGCCTCACCTTGCAGCCATCTACACACTTGATCAATTTTAAAAAATCTAATAATTGTGATTGTGGTTGCAAGTCATTTTGATGATAGGTCTCAAGTGAATGCGAAAGACACCCCAGAATCTAGGAATTAACCATAAACTTAGGATGCTAATAGATCAATATGAATACGAGGTGGGAAATGCAGGAAAAGCCGTCCAAAGTCAGTAGGCAAACGTGACTTGATTCTGCATTTCCTTGCGTAGTTTTCTGCTGCCCTTCGATAGGCTCGTGTACTATCACAGTACATGTACATGTAGTACTGTGATACCATGGCAGCTACCCTGTGGGCCACACATACTCCGGCGCTAGTCTGTGCTGCTCCTTGAAATGGACTCCATATACATGTGTGGGACTTAGCCTTAATGGTACGGTAGCATAATTGTGAGGTCTGGGACGGCAAGACGCCGAATCTGACGAGGGTTGAATTGAAAGATAGTTCTCAATAAGCCGGAATGCAGATTGGTGTGGTGTTGTTCCTGGCGCTTACATCATCTCCTACAGGGAACCACCGGGGCAACTACTGGATACGGAGGTGAGATCTGAGATTACGGAGCGGAGCTGGTCTTCTTGCTTGTTTGCCTCAGTCTGCGCCGCATCGACCGCGTCCGACAGGATTGTGTAGCGTGACAAGAGTGCTGCGTGCACGCAACAACAACACATTAATGAAGCACATATTGACTTGGTTATACATACATATGCTGTAGTGGAGGAAGTGATATCACGTACTGTGTAACATGTTGTCACTGTTGTATTATGATGTAATGCATTACGTAGCCATGCAAGAGCATGCGCGAGATACGTACTTATGAAGCAACACAGCGCCACATGGAGCAGCTGTCCACCGCCACCAGCAGCAGCCGTCTACCTGAAACGGTTCACGCCATTTCCAAATCTGTGGGACACGCAGACTGCGGCAAATGTGGACGAACCCACCACCCAAGCAAGTGCCCAGCGCACGGCTCCACCTGCAACAAATGCGGGAAGGCGAATCACTGGGCAAACGTATGCCGTTCGCAGGGGAGAGACGAGGCACATGGAAGGGGCCAGCAACGCGGACGCTGGCGCCAGAGGAGCCCCAGCCCGCGGGAGCGCTACCCCCAGAGGAGCCCCAGCCCACGGAGACGCTTCGACGCACTGCATTTCGACGCCGTCATCATCGACAGCGTCGAGCGTCACCAACCGCCACTAGAGCGAGAGGTGTTCGCGACCCTCAATGTCAGCCTGGACAACACCAACAGACCGGCCACCTTGAGAGCCAAGGTGGATACGGGCGCCCAGGGCAATATATTGCCGCTGAGAGTGTTCTGCCAAATGTTTCCCCAGCACGTCGGACCAAACGGATACCCAAAGCCGAAGTCCGTGAAGCCGTCAAGTACCACCCTCACAGCGTACGGCGGATCCAAGATAAAGCAATGCGGAACCCGTCCTATTCCGTGCTCTTACGATGGCAAGAGTCAACTCGCTGACTTCTACATCACGGACTGCCCTGGCACTGCTATCATCGGCCTCCCGACAGCGACAGCCCTGCAGTTAGTCACGCTGAACTGCGCTGTCCAGGAGAAGCCAGCGAGCATCCGAGACAAGGACGACCTGATGAAGCAATACCCGAAGTGCTTCGATGGCATTGGGAAATTCCCAGGCAAGTGCCACATCACGGTGGACCCCAACGTCGTCCCGGTTGTACACCCTCCACGCCACCTCCACGCCATCGCACTGAGAGACGAGATCAAGACGGAGCTGGAGGACATGATCCAGAACGGCATCATCACCAAGATCCAGGAAGGCGAACCAACAACGTGGGTGAACAGCCTCGTGTTCCGCCTCAAAGACAATGGCAAGCTACGCCTGTGCCTAGACCCCAAGGACCTCAATCACGCCATCCTGCGAGAGCACCACGTGGTCTCCACCATTGAGGAGATCACCCCGAAGTTGAGAGGTGCCAAAGTGTTCTCGATCGTCGACGTCAAATGTGGGTACTGGAATGTGGAGCTCGACGACGAATCCAGTTACCTCACCACCTTCAACACACCATTCGGGCGCTACAGATTCCTTCGCATGCCATTCGGCCTCAAGATGTCGCAAGATGTCTTCCAAGCAAGGATCGACCAGACGTTCGAAGGGTGCTCAGGCGTCACCGGCATCGCAGACGACAGCGTCACATACGGGACGTCAGACGAGGACCATGATCTCAACATGCACCAGATGATGGTTCGCTGCGAACAATCTGGTCTCAAGTTGAACCCAGACAAATGCCGCATCAAAGAGGACAAGATCAAGTTCTTCGGCATCATCTGCAGCGCTGACGGAATACAGCCCGACCCGAAGAAGGTCTCAGCGCTGAAGCAGATGGAGCACCCCGAGAACAAGGACGAGCTCCAGACGTTCCTCGGGCTAGTCACGTACATGAGCCCGTTCATACCGAATGCCAGCACACTGACCGCGCACCTGCGTGAGCTGACCAAGCCAGATACACCGTTCGCCTGGACAGACAGCCACCAGCGCACCTTCGACAAGGTCAAGGCCGCCATTTCGACAGAAGTAACGCTCAGTTACTTTGACCCAGGCAAGGCAACGACACTGCAAGTCGACGCTTCCATGAAAGGTCTCGGCGCCACTCTGCTGCAGGACGACAAGCCTGTTGCATTCGCCAGCAAGAAGCTTACCGAGACGGAGTCTCGCTACGCCAATATTGAGCGTGAGCTCTTAGCTGTCGTATACGGGTGTGAAAGACTCCACACCTACCTATTCGGTCAGTCATTCACAGTAGAATCCGACCACAAGCCGCTGGAGTCAATCAAGCTCAAGCACCTCCGCGCAGCCCCGCCGCGTCTACAGCGCATGCTGCTGAAGCTGCAGCCGTACGACATGACCATCAAGTACCGCCCTGGAAAGGACATTCCGATCGCAGACGCGCTATCCCGACTGTCGCCAGAGGAAACAGAGCCAATTGAGGACCTCGACGTCAGTGTACACGCCGTGTTCCCGCAATTCAGCGATGACGAGGATCCGCGAGGAGTCGGCTAAAGACGCCGAGATGTCAGCACTGAAGGAGATGATCTTCAGTGGCTGGCCATCAGAGAGGAGCGCGGTGCCGGCAATTCTGCTCCCGTACTGGAATTTCCGCGACGAGATGAGCACCGAGGACGGTCTCATCCTGAAGAGCAATCGCGTCCTGATTCCCCCGCCAATGAGGGGGGAAATCCTCAGCAAGCTGCACGCCAGCCACCAAGGCATAGAGAAGACCAAGCTGCGAGCCAGAACGTCCGTCTTCTGGAAGGACATCAACAAGGATATCGAAGCAACTGTCTCATCTTGCACGACGTGCCAGCGCCACCAGAGCAGTCAAGCCAAGGAACCACTGATGCAGCCCGATATTCCGCCAAGGGCATGGCACACCTTAGGCACGGACCTGTTCTACCTCGGCGGGTCAGAATACCTCATTGCCGCCGACTACTACTCCAAGTACTTTATCACCCGGAAGCTGCCTGCCGGACAAGCGACCAGCAGGGCCATCATCCAGCACCTCAAGGAGATTTTCGGTGAGCACGGCATCCCAGCCGTGCTGAAGTCGGACAACGGGCCGCAATACAGCAGCCATCTGTTCGCGGAGTTTGCTGCCGAATATGGATTCCGCCACAGTACGTCGTCGCCACATCACCCGCAGAGTAACGGGTTTATCGAATCGCAAGTCAAGATCGCTAGGAGAGCTCTCGAGAAGGCAAGGGAGAGCGGGACCGACCCGCACTTAGCACTGCTGTGCATTCGCGCCACCCCAGTGTGCCAGGGCTTACCGTCGCCGGCCGAGATGCTGTTCGGTCGTCAGGTACAGGACAACCTGCCTCGCAAACACCAGCGCGACACTCGGGACGAGGCCATCCGACAGAAGCTCGAGGAACGGCAGGACCAGCAGAAAGTACACCATGACCAGCGAGCGCAGTCTCTCCGCCCCCTAGTTCCTGGTCAGCACGTCGGCATCCGCAGCCCGACCACGCACCTGTGGGAACCTGGTATCGTAACCCAGTCTGTCAACGGGCCACGGTCATACATGGTGCAGCCTGACCATGGGACAGAAGTGCGGCGCAACCGTACCCACCTCAGAAAGAGGCGGGTCCACTTCCCGCCGGATGCCAGTCTCGCAGGCCCTCAGCCGCCGAGTGACGTGCCGTCGCCGTGGAGCGACGTTAGCCAGTCTCAGCCGCCGTCACCGTGTGACGTCAGCCAGCCTGCTGAACCTGCCACCCAGCTGTATCGAACACGGTCTGGCCGCGCAGTCGCACCCAGGTCAATCCTGGATGTGTAGGGCCAGAGAGGCCTCATGGACCTGTTCGCTTATGTCACAGTAGCTGAGGTGCCATTGTTATATTGTACATAGAGCTATTGTTGGATACTATGTCTCTGTATTGTTAGCACGCCGTCGTGTGCCATTCATGATTGTTACCTTGTACATAGAGCTATTGTTGGATGTTATGTTCTATATTGTGAACACGCCGTCATATACGTACGGTATGTTATGTAGGTTGTTAAACTCCTTTATGACGAAGGGGATGTTGTATTATGATGTAATGCATTACGTAGCCATGCAAGAGCATGCGCGAGATACGCATCTCGCAGCTGCCTACTTTCATGCAGGATCCTTCAGATGTCGGCGTTCTTATGATTTGCCTACAATGGCCAAGTGAGAATATAATCCTATCGTAAACAACTAACTTGTTTACCCCGAAACAGTCACTGCCCCATAATCTTTAATCACAGATGTTTAGTGCAATCTAGTCAGCTAGTGTAGAATATGGAAACACGACCGCTGTATGCTTACATTTCAGCTCTTCGATGCTCTCCATATCGGCTACTTCTGTTGAAACAGCACTGGCTAGGCCAGTGGCAGTCGTCGCATCCGACTGAGCTGTCCTTGCCGCGCCTAGCTGCAGGCTGGAGTTGTTGGTGATGTCAGACACGGTGCCTTCTGCAGATGTGATAGTCTGCAGGAACCAAGGACACAGCAGATGGTGTGTTGTGTGCTGAGTCTGCCATCAAAGTTCTAGGTGCCAAGCTAACAATACTCTCTTTAACTGATTCTCCGAAAGGCACACATAACTCTGCGTACACTAACTTACACCACCACCACCACCATAGTACAAACAATGCAGTTAGAAAATCCTTTCACGACAAATCTAGCTGATAGACTCAAACTTGACGTTCCTACCTCGTTCACCATTCCCGTAAGGTTTGCACAGCTGCTCCGGGACGTCGCCAGAGAGCTTGCATCGGTTTGTGTGACGTTGTCTTGGCATTCAGCTACCAGTACTAGGCTATCCTCAATCTCAATCACATCGGATAGTCCCTGTGTGAGTATGCCGGACAGCTCCATTGCACGATCCAGAGCCTGAAAGCAGAACATGCCAGAACATGCCAAAAGCAATGTAACTTGCATGTAGTAAGCCTGTACGCAAATATGCATGCAGGTTTTATCTGGTAAAGTGGCACTGTAACTTAAAACGGGATTCAACTTCAGTCACTATCAGTGTATGTGTGGAGTTGCTGTTATGTGCATAAAAGACTTAGAGAGCCTTGAAAACATGTCCCGGCATACCTCAGCACTACACCGGGCAGCTCATCAGCCTGCCTTTCCATCATCAACCAGGGGAGGACTCGTTTTTTGAACACTCAATTCGCTCAGCAGCAAGCAGTCCCCGTCAACGGAGTGATTTCTTTATTATGTTCCGTGAAGAAGAGGTTGGTGCGACTTCGGCGATAGTAGGGGAAGAGTGTGTTGCTCCCTACATGGGAGCTCGCGGTTTTCCTGCCGACTTGAACTCTCACTTGACTGACTCACGACTGCCATGTACCGTGAGGCCGGAATACGACGGCCTCGGCACAGACATTGTATAATATGTCCGCTCTGCGACTTTTCGCAGATCTGAATATTGCGTACATGTGCTACCTGCATTGCAGCACCTTGCATGGTCGGAACGTAGCGAGGCATGACACTCCGCATAGTCCTAGAATACTGTGAACATTCTGCACTCGCATGCGGTGCAGCCCTGCTGTCAGATGTACTGCCATTGCCAGTTCCGCTGTCCTAGTTCAGTTACGTTTGCTCCAGTTCGGAGATCAGAAAACGTAATAAGTATCATTTTCCATCTCTACATGAAAAGAAGGCTTCAAACACAACATAGCGTATTCTATCGCCAATGATGTCTGATGCTGAATCAAGTTGAATCATTGGTTCACTCCTGGCCTTGCCCTCAGACTTACTATTCCAAGTGATGAATTGGTTTGCATGATGATAACACGGGCATCGCTCAAGGTTTGGCTGGCGCTGCTGTGCTGTGCCGTGTGTTGCTGGAGAGCGGCTTCGATTCCGCTCAGCATGGCGTACGCTTGCTGACTGGCATTGCTGCATAGGAGAACACAGTCGCCCAAACTGTATTGGCACTGATTCATCAATTCACCACCTGAAACTTGTTGAATTTCCCATGCACGCAATAGTGACAATACCAGGAATGTCTCTCCAGACGGTGACACTTCCCAGTCCTTGCTCCATGAACAAGAACAATCTCTTCCTCAGGCTTTTTCAAGTTGTGCATACACACAGCCACTAATCCTGGTCAGTAGGAGTATGGTTACTATAGTGACTGGTAGCTATGTACATGATTGATAAAGGCAAAAAAACCCAATACCCTTGCCTTGCTTATCACGCTCTTAACCTCCTATGAGTCCTATCCTTACTTCTTTGTATCTAAAGAGGCTATAGTCTAGAGGATATGCGATAACGTCATCCCTTGAGGTGTTTTGTGTGCGGTGGCAAACTATGACACCACATTCACTGGTTTGCCACTCAGCAGTCAGCGCAAGGCAAAATTAATGAAGACATTCACTGATTTGCCACTTAGCACAAGGCAAAGGCGATGATGTCATTCACTGGTTTGCCACTCAGAAGTCAGCGCAAGGCAAAGGCGATGATGTCATGCACTTGTTTGCCAGTCTGCCACCCAGCAAAAGGCGTACATGTAGGTAATGATTTCAGTCACTGGTTTGCCACTCAGTACAAAGTATATGCCATGATGTCATTCACATGATCTCTACTAGACGATGACGCATGTAACAATGGTGTGGAACAAAACAGATCACACGTGAGCCGGTGCGAGTAAAGAGACGTAACTCACAATGCTGCTTGCGCAACTTGCAGAATGGACTCGGCCTCCTGCAAGCTCAGGCGGGCGTCCGCAAGCGTCTGATCCACCGCTGACTGTGGTATTATGGTGCTGTTGATCTCAGAGCTCAAGTTCAGTGCCAGCTCAACGGACGGCAGGGAGATCACCAGAGCAGACGATGCGGACACCTCTGCCTCCGATAGATGGTTCAGCGCAGCCGTCAAGTCCGAATTGATGGATTCAGTGCTTTTGAGAGTGTCCTGAGCAGTGCTAGCCGTTGCCATTGCAGTGCTCTGTGCATTTAGCAAACACAACGTGCACACTCAGTTTGCTGGGAAATGTTGCCAAACTTTAGCTGCAGGCGTAACCTCTGTAGTGTAATTGTTCTCTCCCATTTATACTAGAGCTTTTGGCAATACAATACAACACTGCTGAAACTGAAGTATAGGGGTCATTTGATTACATCATTATTAAGTACTGGGGTTGTGCGATTACATCATTATTAAGTACTGGGGCTGTGCGATTACAGATTATATGAGGTATTCCAAAACCAATAAACAGCAACAACCTACTCTTCTGTTTACTTCAGTGTCTCCCATAGGCCATTGGTTTTCTTACAGAAGCCCGAAGGGAGGTGCAGGGGCATTTGTTTGTTAAGAGCCACCACAAGCATTGGTTGCAACTCAATACTGAGCGTATCATATTATGATGATGTCACTCTCAGAACACCTTCAGCCAAGAGGTAGACGCAAATAGGAGCTCCAGAGCTGAAGGATACATGCTTGCATAATGCCAAGCACAGCAAGCAACAATTTTCAGAATCATCGTCTCTTGGCAAGAGCGTGAGCAGTAGCATCGAGTCTCGCTTCTTTCATATGACTCAGCTATGCCTAGAGTTGCATTTCACCCAGAGCGCTGAACGGTACTTCAAAACTCTCCCCGGGTCAAAAATGCAGCATCGTTTTGCCTTCATTCCAGTATGGTTGTGCCATCATGACAATTGTACGTGACGTGTAAGCAGCAAATGCATTCAATCAACCAAAGCACACACTATTGAAGGGGTGACATACTTACCAGGAATGCAGTGATGATATCAGACACGTTGTTGGCATTAGCGCTGGTGCTATTGACGGAGAGTGCCAGCTTGTGAGTGTCTGCGGCCAAGCTCTGGGCTAGCTGCAGTTGTGCGGTAGCTTGCTGCCTGGCTGCATGCGCAGTCATGTTAGCAGCACTAGCTATACTGTTTGCAGTGGTGACAAGACTACGAAGGAAGGCGGAAACGCACGCATACGCACGCGCGTGCACACGCATCAAAAGTCTGTCAGCGATAGCAAATAGAACAGGCCTGCCGCAAGTGATCATGTTGGTGACAAAGTTATTGTGGATTTGAGCTTTAACAATATGCCGGGTCCAAGACATTGTTCCCATGTGTTCAATCAACCCTGAACATTGTCAGCTCCAGCCTAGGAACGCTCTTTGTATGATGACAGATACCAAATCACTTACACTGATTATAATGCACCGTGCCCAATCGATGAAATCATCGCTTCGAAGTTATGTCGTGATAGCCACCGTTTTCTCTGTCTCTCTCTCTCTGTCTGTCTGTCTGTCTCTCTCTCTCTCTCTCTCTCTCTCTCTCTCTCTCTCTCTCTCTCTCTCTCTCTCTCTCTCTCTCTCTCTCTCCCATGCATATATATACACACTTTCACACACTTTCATACACACACACACACACACACACACACACACACACACACATTCTCTTTTCTCACTATCCCCCCCCCCCCTACCCTACTACTCCCATCCAATACTACATCACGTTCAAGCCATACCTGGTGGCATTACGGATATCCTCCTCCAGAATAGCTATGTCTTGATCGAGCCTCGAGATCATTTCAGCATTGTCCATGGTTAAAGCCTCAAACACGGCATGATCAGCTGCCACCCGTGCATTTGTGAGTGATGTGGAGTGAGCGGTTACCTCGCCGATGGACGCCAGGTCGCGGCTGGCATTGATATGTTCGGACAAAGCCAGAATAGCCTGGACAATGTTCACCAGTCTGTCAGCCTCAGTAGAGAAGTTTGCATTGATTTCTTGTAGCTGTGATCAAACCAATACGCATACACAAACAAACACACACATGTACACAGACACACACACACACACACACACACACACACACACACACACACACACACACACACACACACACACACACACACACACACACACACACACACACACACACACACATGGATACATGCATATGCACGTCAAGAATGCACAGGATTAATCCCAGGAATGTTATGGGAACTCAAGGCATTGATTCAGGGCTACTTTGGCCGAGCACTGCGAGTCAACCCTGGCACAACCCAAGAAAGCAATAGCCTTATGCTGAATATTTGGTTCTCGTCATCTGCAGCTGCCTTTTAAACTGATCAATCTAGACATTGTAGCGGTGACATCATACAAACACTGCCAGTCTTGCATTTTTGAAAGTTGAGTAACGAATCTGCTGATGAGTTAAGTCACACCAACACTGCTTTAACGGCTTACCAACAACTCCTGGTGTCTGGTGAATGCCTCGATAGTCTTGGCGGAGGCCAGTGTTCCATCCGGCACAACGACAGAGCCATTGAACGTCTTCTGGTCGGCCAAACTGATAATGGAGGCATTGAGCTGGGCTTCATTTCTTGAAATTCTGCTTGCGAACGCACTCAGAGTGGAAGTCAGCTAAATTGGCATCAAGAAGAGCAAATTCAAAAATAAAATTCAAGAAGTAAGCACTAGTTACGTAAGTTGAGGCAGTTGAAAAACGAACAAAAAAAGTGTGTGTGTGTGTGTGTGTGGATTCACTGGCCATAAAAAGCCACTTCATAGCTGTGTGGTGTAGACCAGGCTGAATAGTGGCGGTCAATTCTACAGCCTTGCAAGCGGTTGAATGGTGCAATCCCAGCACAAGCTGCTATGGCTTCTGCTGTAGCATCGCTATCATCGCCTCCGGCAATGGGCGTCCAATGGTGTGTGTGTGTGTGTGTGTGTGTGTGTGTGTGTGTGTGTGTGTGTGTGTGTGTGTGTGTGTGTGTGTGTGTGTGCATGTGTGTGTGAACGAGCACCATTGACCAAGCAGTACCTGAAGCTCATGTACAGTACCCTAAGCAAGCCTTAGTAACTCCCTGTAACAACAACCTACCTGTGCGTTGAGACACTGAAACCTGGTAGAGAGATCACCCTGTCACTGAAAACTGCCACCTGTCTATTAATGCCACCCTGCCCACAAAGACCACTCTGTTACTAAAAACCACTACCTGTCTATAAACACTGCCATGTCGGAAAAGACTATCCTGTCTATCGTTCTGCCTTTCTAAAGAGACCACACTGTCTTTAGAGAGCACCCTGTCTGTAGAGACCACCCTGTCCACCCAGTCTAAAGAAACCACTCTGTCTATAGAGACCACCGTGTCTATAGCGACCACCATGGCTATAGAGACACCATGTCTATAGAGACCACGATGGCTATAGAGACTACTCTGTCTATAGAGGCCACCATGGCTATAGAAACCACTCTGTCTATAGCCACCACCATGGCCATAGAGACACCATGTCTATAGAGACCACGATGGCTATAGAGACTACTCTGTCTATAGAGACCACCATGGCTATAGAAACCACTCTGTCTATAGCCACCACCATGGCTATAGAGACCACCATGTCTATAGAGACCACCATGGCTATAGAGACCACTCTATCTATAGCGACCACTCTATCTATAGCGACCACCATGGCTATAGAGACCATGATGTCTATAGAGACCAACATGGCTATAGAGACTACTCTGTCTATAGAGACCACTCTGTCTATAGAGACCACCATGGCTATAGAGAATATCCTGTCTATAGAGATCACTCTGTCTATAGAGATCACCCTGTCTATAGAGACCACTATGTCTATAGAGACCACCTTGTCTATAGAGAATATCCTGTTTATAGAGATCACCCTGTCGATAGAGATCACCCTGTCTATAGAGACCACCATGTCAGAGATCACCCGCACCACTAAAGACTGGTCTTCTTTGTATTACAACGCTAGCCCACGGTTGCTAAGGACAGGTGTCACAGTGTTACTGACCTGCACAGTGTAAGCATCCACCTCAGCAAGAATACTCTCAAGCTGCACTTCACGGCGGTTACGGAGCAGATTATGGATCTGATCCAGCTGCGCTTGCACCTGCGAAAGCATCGACGACACGTCCGCAGCAGCCATGCTGCCGAACGCCATCTGCGTGGTGGTGATCGTCTGGTTGTGGACCTCACTGAGCTGAGTACGGATGGCCTCGACTATCACCAGCCATGCGTCAAAGCAGGGATGACACACCTGACAGTTCGGTACCGTTCCTGATCGAAAAGAAAGGAATATTAAAACACGATCTCTTATTGGCCACAAGCCATCATGAGAATATAGATTTGAAACACCAATGTACAGTTACTTTTCAACGACTGGGAGACCTTCAAATCTCAAAGTATCAGTCAGGGAAGTGAAGTGCCTGAAAAGAGAAAAAAATGCCCGACATATCATGACCAGCAAGGTCCCGGATTCGAGGCCTGATGGGTCTGGCATTTTCAGTTTTTCTCTTTCAGGCAGTACACCAATATCCTGTTAGGATACTTAACCAATGTTTGCTGAAATAGTTCAGTGTTTGAATTCAATTGTGCGCAATAGTCCTAGTACCCACGAACGCAAGCATGCATGTACACACAGCATTCCACCCCACCATGGCTTGTAGTAATCAACCATATCACACGTGTATTGGAACCATGCCATGGCGAATGTGGAATACAAAAAAAATGCTATTGCATTGCTGCGCTGAAAGTACCTTGTGTGCCAAACAGGCATGACGTGCACTTGGAACCGGTCACCCTCTCCTTGCAGAAGCAAGCGCCCATATCCACAGCCGTCTGCTGGCAATTACAATCTCCTCCAGCGCACTGCTCCGAGCCGATCACATTGCAGCCACATGCTGAAAATGAAGACAATAATTACAAATGGCCGCAAGTGTCCAAACATACTTCTAACTGATGAGTTCTTTAAAAGTACTTCACCTCAATCTGAGATGTCAACTTAGGTCACTTTGGAAACTGAGAGACCATACACTTATAATATAAAACTAACAAAGCAATCCCCACTTAGCATTTCGTACGGCAAAGACAATTGCTGTTTTTTGGCCACACGACGTGCACCAGTGGCTTGTTGGCACCCGTCTATAACAAGGACTGGCTTTCTGCATGATGGGGTGGTTGCATTGGGACAGCCCTCAACGTACTTTGTAGCATTATCCTCCACTGGACAGGAGGAGGCGGAAATACACTACTCTATCCCCTTCCTTGCAAGTTTTTAGGCTACTCCTGCACCCATGACATGATTATGTTACCAGCTCAGTCAACTATCCAGCATCAGTACTTACAAGTACAGCCGCTTCCCGAGTGGAAGTCGTACGTTCCGTTCCGGCACTGGTCGCATATCTGGCCAAACACATTGGACTTGCACGAGCACATGCCGGTGTCCTGGGAAAATCAAGTGAAAACAAGTGCACACCAGTCAATACGGTCAGCTGTTACTCCACAAGAGCTGGCACACGAGAAATGACTCAGAGGCAAACTCAGGCATTCCAATACGATAAAAAAAGCTGCAGAATGTGTCCAAATACATGCCGACTTGATGACAACTTTTAACAAGTCCACTCTGTGTGAAGTCATATCCCTGTAAGCAGTCACACCGTCACAAGGGACCCATTGCCGATCACAATGAATGGCTGACGCTGTGCCAACCACTGTAAGAAACAATGCACACTGTCCACACTGCCGGTATGAGCAAACACACGCTCGTGTCATGCGATATCACTGGGCTCACACAGGAGCATGGTGGACACAGGATGTAGGGTATATGGCAATGCATACAGCCATGGTGATGCATATTGCCATGGTGATGCAATTGCCATGGTGATGAATATTGCCATGCATATTGCCATTTGTACTGCCATTCATACACACCCAAACCTCACTGGTGTATGGGGGGGGGGGGGTTCACAGGACAAAGACCCAAACACAAGTCAAGCTGAAATGCACCGTCATGGCTGTTTTAGCACTCACCTTGTTACATACGCTGCTCGCGGATCCCGTCAAGTTGCAATTGCAATCCTGGCAGTTACTCGTCCTGGCATCGCCGTGAAACGAGTCTTTGCACATTTCACAATGATCACCTGTGCATTGCCATCAGGAATGATAATGCAATTGAATCAACCTTCCTTATTTGTACAGGCTTAGAGGACACCTCTCAGCAACATACTAGCGCCTCATATTCAGGACACATTGGTACCACCGCCATCCAAATCAAGTTAAAATGCAACCTGCAATGAGAGTATCTCTATATACATGTACAGGATGAATGTTTGTGTCTGGACCACAGGTTGATCACATGCTAGCCCTGGCCAGGTCTCGGGCTGTTCCACAGGCCAGCGCACAGGCAGGTCCCGGGCTGCTACCTTTGCGAGGATCAGTGAACATAACCGAGAATGTGCGGGAAAGTGTGCGTACATCTGGTTACGGCAGTGTTAAAATATAAAGCCATTTCAAAGTTCATCTACACGTATGCAAGCGAGAATTGAAGTGTCTCTCCACGCACCTTGGGTGTTACCTCCACAGCCCACACACACGCCGGTCAGCATGGCGCAGGACTGGCTGTGCGCGTGGCACGCACACGCCGTGCACACGTCAAACTGGTCGACGACCGACACCGCCGTAGAGATGTTGCGCAGCTGATAGTTACGCGTGTACGCCGGGCTGGAGCACTGGCTGCAGTCGAGCGATGCATAGCCCACCGGACACATACAATGCTCTATGTTGTGTGCGTCCGGCAGCGCAGCATCGCTAGACAGTGCAGCCGCTTCCAGGGACACATTGTATAGGAGTGTGTGTGTTCCCAGCTGCAGTCAGGACAATGTGAGCAACATAAACTTGTCAGAGCTTCATCTTTTTCAAATTCAAATGCGACAAGGTCAGAGAATACACTACATACTCATACAAGTACCAGTCAAGCAAATCACACTGTAGCCGGTATCAACAGCAGTGGGTAGTAAAATATCATTATTTTACTACTCCCTGGTTAACAGTGTGATTCGCGAAGTAAAACAAAACAAAACAATTATCATCATTTATAAGAAGAATGAGGACCAAAGAGCTACCAGTTACGCTATAATATCCACTAACACCACCAGTTACTAAACAATCAGCTCATGCTATAACATTGCACGACACTGACCGACGGTACTGACGTTCTACACCTAACTGGCAATCAGCTCCAGCACGTCTTGGATGCGCACTCCAAGGCCCTGAACCCATCATTAGAGAGTAAAAAAAGTACGATTGTCCGGCCTATAAACTGTGATAAGGTCCTTGGCGGGAACGACAGTGATCGGTCATCTCCTAGATGCCAAGACTGGCCTTGTTCTAACTGTTAAGTTATTCAATGTACAGTGCATTGTGCATTCTCCTCCGTGCTCACCGTTGCGACGTTGCTGTAGTACACTGTTCGTATAGTCAGCTCCGTTGCGTGGTTCAGCACCGACACAATATCAACCATTGTGGCCAGTGGTCCCGTGATATCACCGACACGCCATTGACCTGGGTAGAGCAGCAGCTGTGGCATGCACAAGAAGCAGGGAAGGCTTAGGTCAGTGACATTATGTGGAAAACCATATCATTCAGGGATTAGTCAACTGGGCATGTCTGCTGCACTATAAAGTGAGCTGTTATGATACAGATATGCCCTACCTCATACATGAATCTAGGTGTGAGTTTGAACCGAAGTGTGAATAGGACTACAACCCAAGAGTGACCCAGACACACAGGCGCCCGTTGGCACCATTCCACATGCACAAATATGCGCAAACGCATACATACACAGTTGCACACACACATACACACACAATGGACAAAGGAAGTAGACGTGTACATTGCACTGTACGGAAGGATACGCACTCCCCCCTCCCCCCCCCCCCCACACACACACACCCGGGTGTTTGGATGGCACACAGGATACTGACATACTCACGAGAGTAGGCATGAGTGCATGCTTCCTGCAGCTTGTCAATGACACACTTTGGATGCATGGTGTTGCAACAATGTGCAGGCAGGTGAAAAACTAAACAATATAGGGATACATAATTTCAAGTCCATCCATCAATATACTTTAATCTCTGCAAGACAGGGAAGACACGATGTAACATACCGTATGCTGTGCAGGGACGTCGTATACAGGCGCGTTATCAAGTACGGCAACGATGGAAGACACTCTGGGAGAGCTGCTCCGGATCACCACATCGCCACCTGGCCGCGTGGTAATAAGGCTGCTGGTCATAGTCCCCGGCGTTGTTCGCAGGCCAAACGAGAAGTGATGACCGATGGAGTTTGGCAGGTTGGACACGATGCTCTGGGGTGCAACCAGCACTCCTTCACGGTCAAAGTGCTGAACTGGCTGCAACATTCCTTGCACGAATGTGACATTCCTGTCGGGTGAGAAACCATTGGGAAAAAACATACTCAGCTCCAGGAAGCATTGCTTTGCATTAGGTATTCAGTTATGTCTGTGACACGTGTGTTGCAAGTCAGAACCCATAGCATCCAGAATCCGAGATTTGGGTGGGTGTGGGGAGGGGTGGTGGGGTATTAACTTCTATTAACAAAGCCGCCTGCCGGTCAGGAACCCAATCGGCATGGGGGTGGGTGGGGTATTAACAAAGCCCTGTGGGTCAAGAACCCACCGCATGGGGGTGGGTGGGGTATTAACCCATTTAGCGAGAGCGTCGTACTAGTACTCATGTGCGTCGTACTAGTACGACGCACATGAGTTGCATGCCCTACTAGTACGACGCGCGCTGTACAGTCAACCTGCATCTCATAGTCGTGGGGTCTGTGTTGAGTCCATAGTGACTTGTTCAAACTATCGTAACTCACTCAATACTTGGTCGATTCTCACAATCGAAACATGTATCTGCCAGTGCAAGAGAAAACTCTCAGCTGGCGATAGAAACAATCGCCGAAGCGATACGACTACCGGTTGTTGAGATATGCGCCTCGACACGCCAAATTTCAACTCGATTTTTTTGCGCAGTCTGCAGAACGCGTATTTTCCATCATGGATCATTTTTGCGCTACCTGCTGCCATGGAAACAAGATTCAAATGATGGTAGTGGATCCCGTGAGTCCTCACAAAAAAAATTGAGCTCGATACGAGCAAGGAGACCGAAATGGCAGCTGAATATTTGAGCTCGGTTAATCCTGGCCATGCTCAAGTCTGTCGAGCGTGTGGATGAAGTTTGCCAGACTGTAGCACGGGGTTTTGGTTTCGCTCTGAGCTGGGTTTGACACCAGTTTGTCCCTGGTTTCAAGACCTTTCCAGGAAGCTTAAGATCATGGAATTCGTCCAAGGGAAGGTAAAGTTATCGATCCTTGAGCAGCTAGTACTTTCATGGGAAAATGCGACTTTTACAGGTGTTGACGTGTGGGGCGTTCAGGTAGCGTCCTGCTAAAGAGGTTAACAAAGCCCTGCAGGTCAGGAACCCACTGCATGGGGGTGGGTGGGGTATTAACAAAGCCCTGCGGGTCAGGAACCAACTCGGCATGCGGCACGAGCAGCCTACCCACCACATACCGCGCTCCGCTTTGGTATGAGTGGGTCCAGAAGTTACTATTTTCAGCTACTAGTATTTGTTGACTTCTGACGCCATTATGTTCCAGCTCTAGAGGTCAGAGGAGGCAAAATAGCGATACTGATTGCGATAATCAGCTCATTTGCGGGGAGTTTTTTTCCCGAAAACTCAAGTGAAGGTCAGGGTGTCTATGAATACAACTTACCCGCCCGGAAGTGTGACCAGTTCACGGGTTTGAGTCGCATCCACATCTGGCAACTGTTGGTTGCTCGTCCGGAAAGTCCATCCGGAGAGGTTTGTATTCTCGAAATTGTTCTGCACAACGGCTAGCTTGTAACCGGAGGCGGCGGAGCAGTCGCTTGTCTTATTAGAACACAGGCACTGGTAGCAGCCACCAAGTGGTGCTAACACACTGGGACCGTAGAAACCTGCACAAGAACAGTGCAACACAGTGAAGTATTCTTCATGTACGTGTACTCCCCGATGAGGCCCCAGCGGCAAACATCCAGATGTACAGTGTTTATAGTGTGGCAACACCAGCCCATAGACCGTGGTGATGGCGGCGGTAGTGGTGGTGGCATGTAGCTAATGTGACGCTGAGGTGTATTTACACTAAGACAGCACAATACTCACTATCCGTATTTCCCGCTCCTTCACCATAGCAATGTGATCCCATCAAGTACAGAAGAGTGCATACTACAGTGGTTCTCTATTCTTCTTCTTCTTCTCACTCTTGTCTAGTCTCTTGTCTAGTCTCTTGTCTAGTCTCTTGTCTAGTCTCTTGTCTAGTCTCTTGCCTAGTCTCTTGCCTAGTCTCTTGCCTAGTCTCTTGCCTAGTCTCTTGTCTAGTCTCTTGTCTAGTCTCTTGTCTAGTCTCTTGTCTAGTCTCTTGTCTAGTCTCTTGCCTAGTCTCTTGTCTAGTCTCTTGTCTAGTCTCTTGTCTAGTCTCTTGCCTAGTCTCTTGCCTAGTCTCTTGCCTAGTCTCTTGCCTAGTCTCTTGTCTAGTCTCTTGTCTAGTCTCTTGTCTAGTCTCTTGCCTAGTCTCTTGTCTAGTCTCTTGTCTAGTCTCTTGTCTAGTCTCTTGTCTAGTCTCTTGTCTAGTCTCTTGTCTACTCTCTTGTCTAGTCTCTTGTCTAGTCTCTTGTCTAGTCTCTTGTCTAGTCTCTTGCCTAGTCTCTTGTCTAGTCTCTTGTCTAGTCTCTTGTCTAGTCTCTTGTCTAGTCTCTTGTCTAGTCTCTTGTCTAGTCTCTTGTCTAGTCTCTTGTCTAGTCTCTTGTCTAGTCTCTTGTCTAGTCTCTTGTCTACTCTCTTGTCTAGTCTCTTGTCTAGTCTCTTGTCTAAGTCTAAGCCTTCTACTTCTTCCATATTCAATACTTCTGAAACTACAAAACCCTGTGTTCTACGAGTGCGAGGGGACTGCATTTTTAGCCGGCAGCTAACACTGGTAGCAGCGGTGGGATATGAACCCACGCCTACATTCAAACTTTCTGCTGATCATGATCCAGTGAGATGCACCCTCACCCACACTCTTCTCAGTGGCAGATGCAACGCCTAGTAGGCGTTGCATCTGCCACCGACAATGACGGTGTACAAATCAGGCATGGTGAGGCTTGCCACAAGTCACCCATTCCCATAGTCTATCCTGACCGACGGGGAAGGTGATTGAGGTCAAGATAGTTAGGGTGGTGCCCATCTCCTCTGGTTCGTTCCCTTGGATTTCCCAGCCAAACTCAGGTGTCCAATCCCAGATGGGTCTCCTCGTGGCAGAAATTATCTTCACACGAACTGGGAGTCGAAACCCGGCGTAATCCCATGTTTAAAAGGCCAATGCTCTAACCACAACCTTACCAACTCGAGGACATAGAAAGCCAATAGTTTGCAACAAATGTCAGTAGAATGCGACCTTAATCAGTTTCGTTCCTATTTACTGAACCCGTCACTTCTCTTTCCTTACCTGGTTTGCACTTGTCACAGTTGTTTCCCACGACATTGCTCTTGCACGGACAGCTGCCGTTGTTCGGGAAGCAGGTTTGTCCGGCAATAGTACCGTCCGCATCACACTGGCACAGCACGCAGCCAGATCCAGCCTGGGTGTGCAGCAGCAGAAGAAACAATGCAAAGTGCAACATTGCCTGTCATCAGAGACCCCTGCGATGAGAGATCACCTATGTTTAGAAGACCATGCTCATGTGTTGAGACTTGAGAGACTACCTGTGTGTGAGAGGCCAGCAGGTTTAGGAGACCATGTACCTGCAATGGGAGGCCACCTGTGTTTAAAGACCACCTGTGTTGAGAGACCAGTCAACTCACATCCTACACTATGTCTTTTAGATTAACAAGCATTCAGAACTCTGCAGATGAACCACCTGTCTGTAAACATTAAAAGACCGTTTCTGTGCAATAACTGTTTTTTTGCGTGATGCGCAGATTTTTCACAGTACAAATACCACACATATACAGTCTAGAAATCGATGTAGGAACAACGGCACGTGCACAGCGCTAGGGCACATGCACCGGGAGTTCCATTGCGCAATGGAAGCCTGTCCACACTTACCAGTAGCCATATTATAAATGGCAAAATATCTTGTTTGGTGGAATGGGTTAACAAATGTCTGAAGAGGTGGGCGGCTATGCTTTAAAAACCCGGAAGGAATAAGCCGTAGGGGAAACCCCGGGAAGGAATAAGGCGTAGGGGAAACCCCGGGAAGGAATAAGGTGCAGGGGGAAACCCGGGAAGGAATAAGGCGTAGGGGAAAACCCCGGGAAGGAATAAGGCGTAGGGGAAAACCCGGGAAGGAATAAGGCGTAGGGGAAAACCCGGGAAGGAAAAGGCGTAGGGGAAAACCCGGGAAGGAGAGATAAGGCTAAGGAACTCACCGTCAGTGAATGGTAGCCGTTCTGGCACTGGTCACATTGGCGACCCTCAACGCCGGGACGGCACGGACACTGCCCGCTCACAATGTCGCAAATACCACTGCCGCCGTCCGTGTAGGACGTGTTGCACTGGCATGGAATGCAGCTATCCGGGTGCGAGTACGGCAGAGCCGGATCACGATAGTATCCGTCCTGACATCGCTCACAGTGTAGTCCTGTGACGTGATGCGATGGCGTGCACTGGCAGATTGGGCCCAGGAACGACGAAGGAGGATGGCACAAATCCCCGTGCCCATTGCATTCACAGCCTGAAACACGCATGGGATAGCAAACAGCACAGGCAACAGAGAAATTGAGATTGAGCTAGACGCACTGCGCATAGATCCAATAGCTGCCAGCCATAGCAGGCAGTGCTCGCTGGCGTGTTTGTGTGATGTCACATCGCTGGCAGCAAATGAAATCCTGCCAGCCCCCTGGTTAGACATGGCTCAGTATGCCGGATCATGCACATGCCTACAGTACACATCTGTCCCACCCTGCACAGAGCTGACACAGGCATGCTCACACTGAACCCGGTGCAAAACGGGAGAGGGTGCTGGATTTTAAATTGTGTATATGTACACGCAGCCTGTCCACTTATCCCAGCAGGACTTGACAGTCCTCCACTTATCCCAGCAGGACTTGACAGTCCTCCACTTATCCCAGCAGGACTTGACAGTCGTTCACTTATCCCAGCAGGACTTGACCGCAGTCGTTTTAAAACTGTAACAGGTACTGACAAAGCCAAGAAGATTATTGAACAGTGCATTTGCTGTACTATACATCAACACCGACAGTAGAGAAGGTGGAGCAGCTAAGGGTCCCTGCAATCTTTCCCTCAAACACAATACTGGCAATGAATATGCAGGAAAAGACACAGGACAGCATGCGGTGCGATGCTTACGTATGCACTCGTTCGCCGTTTGATCCGTCCCTGGCGCCCATGTGCGATTGTTGTAGAGCGGCTGGCATGTCTGGCAGTTCACACCCATCGTGTTGTGACTACAGTTACCACAGCCGGTGGGAAACTGAAGCGAGCAAAACAGTACAGACACAGCACTACATGCCACTGCCAAGCACAAACACAATAATTATTATTACCACGGCGCTCTTGAGGAGCCGTATTCCCTGGCAGAACCACTGAGTGCGTACTGCATGCCGCAACTAAACTGCATCATCTGAGCATGACTGATTACATCTCAGTGGACTGGAACGAGGCTGATAATTACTAGGAAGTTTCCAACTGTCATTACCAATTCAAGACTACATGTAGTAGTAAGCATGAGATGATGTCATGGTTGACTATGATGACATCATCAAGACATGTATGACATCATTTGATTCATAGGAAGGACGCACAGAATCCGAAGCTTACCCCTGCAATGTCTCCAGGCTGCATGACACACGTGTCGGAATGGCCGAAGCAGTGGCACGTTGCCGACACTTCCCATTCATACACGCCATAGTAGAAGCGGTGTGCGTTTGTTGAGCTTCGGTCAAATGAAGCGTGCTGACTGGGAGGAACGAGTGAGTTCTGAAGAAAGTTGAAGCCAGAGAATGTCACTCTCAGGTTGGTGATGGCCAGGTAACGCTCGACCAGGGATCGGTCGGAGAAACGGCTGCTTCCCAGACGGCTTGTCGGGTTGAACGTCACCTGTGTTGCGCGAAGAAACAGCAAGGTGTGCAACACAGTGCCATCAGTCGACAGAGCCAAGAGGGCATGCAGATCTACCAGAGGCATCGGACAAGCTACAGTTACAACGGTCTTAACCGTATCACTCTTTGTCCCGGGTACCCCGTGAATTAATAAAAGCGACATGGCACTGAGGGAGCTGCGGCCTCCTTCGCACTTGATCGCCATCTTCGCAATGAACGCGCCACCTTTTTGCACGTTATTCCAGTGGCCGGTGAATAAATACATGTGCACGGAATGGAAGTGCATATGTAATAGTTGGTCGCTTGCGTGTTGGTGCCGGTGAAAGTAGCGGGCAAAATGGCGGTACAACCCACAACAAACATTTCATCCCCCCCCCCCCCCTTCACTTTTGCTCTAGCTATAACCGTGTGAGCCGGGTAACCGGACACCCTTGCTGTGCGACTTCTCTCTTTACTAGTCTTGGCACCAATGCATGGCTTTCACTGGACAATGCCGCATATAACAACTACCTTGACCGGGGAGCACTTCATCATTTTACTAACGTTTTACTGCCATCATGCACGGATGTTCTCGTACATACAGTACAAACACTCATGTCAGCAAAGTTCCGCCGGATGTAGCCTAGCAGTTGTTCCAATTGTACACTGTACTCATGTGGCAAACTGGCATGGCCAACGAATACCGTATTTTTCGGAAATTAGAGCCAGTCTTTTATGACCGCCTGTCTGAAATAACCGCCACTTCATTTCGGTGCTCTTGGGTGGATCTTTTCAAATTGGGTGAAATTTGAGGGCTCGCAAACTACTACTACTAGTAAGCGACTAGGCCAGTATTGCCAAAATATACGGACTCCCGAATATGGATGCACACTTTTTGAAAGACCAACATTGCCGTGCTGCATGGGGTGCACCTGTCGACATGGACACACGAACTAACCTGTAGACTATCCTCCTGGGATGTAAGGATAAGAAGACCCTCATCGGTGCAGATTGCGCTCGAATCGGCCGGTGCACTGGTCGTGCTCGTCCTCGCCAGGCCAAAGCTGTTAGTACACGACAGTGCCCAGTATTGGTATGGTGTCCACGTCGCACCGCCGTCCGTCGAGTACTCAAGTCGCATGGCGCCCGGCGGGATGTTGCGAAACGTCAGCGTCGTCCGCTGGAACAGGACCTTGTTGGCCCAGTCGAGCTGGATGGACACAGTGGTGATGGCGTAGGGTGACTGCCACCAAGTGCTGGTTGAACCATCGTGTAACTGCACGGCTGGATGTGCCTGCTGACCATGCGTAGCTACTGTACCATTGCACACCAGGTCTCTGTAGGAAATAGAACTAGACGTGGTCCAACCGCCAAACCCGTACACCTCCCCGCCATGCTGACCCACACCACACGTAGCACTAGCGCTGGCTCCGCTCGCACCTCTCGCCAGGTTGCTGGCCGACGCGATGCAGTTCGCTTGCGTTTCGGTGCAGGCCGCCTCGCTCCATCTGGCCGCTCCAAGGACGAGGAGAGTAGCGAACAGGAGCATTATCCCAGGCTCCTCGCTTCTTCAAAGCCGCAATGCGCACTGAGGCGTTAGAGGGTGAATGGAAGTGTCGTTGTCGGTCGGTGTCGCTAGGTCCAGCAGGCGACGACTGTGCCGCGCCTTCGTTATCTCGTCTTCCTCGGCGGTCGCTGGGGTCCTATGGAGCTAGTTGTCCTGGGGCTCCCGCTACCTCCTCACCAATCCGGCATTGGAAAACCGACCAAATTGAAAGGATCATTCACACTCTCAGCACTTTAGATCATTTGCTCAGCAATCATAATTGACTAATTGTCGTCCTTTGCGGTAGTTCCACCTGCGTGTTTGAAAGAGGGTGTAGACTCTACCACTCTCAACGGACTGTCGAAGCTCCAAACAACGCTGGGAAGGCACACGGAAATATTAGGACCCCTGTCCGTCCACCTGTCCTTGTGCTTAGTTAGGCCTTACCGACTAAAATGAAACAGTACTTGTAAAGTAAGTTCAAACAACCAAATCTCCTTCGCAATGTTCGGATTTTTTTAGTTCCAAATTCGTTTCTAGTACAGTATCAGCGTGATCATCCGGTATGCCCGTCCAGAATTCTAGGTCTAGACTAGGAAGTAGGATAGGAGCATGTTGTGTTGGCTGCATTCCACAGTTTCTTGATACCTAGTACCTGTCAACGGTTACGCCTCGTCGCTTGATGCCTAGAAACGGCTGTTGGTAAGGACCAAGCCCAAGCAAGGGCAGGATCCTCGCCATGGCGAAAATGGCGTCCAGACTAAGTCGAGGTCGGAGGATGTAACGGGTGCTCCCGGCCGGGCCGGCGCGACCAGCGCTAATCGCTATACTAGTGTATAAATTATAATGGATCCATGGAGTAGTGCTGGAGCTGGCTAGGCTGCATGCACAGAGTCAGTACAGTCAGTCATACTTGTCATCACTGAGACATGCACTGATGCAGTACTGACATTAGCACTGTGACAGTGACAGTAGCGACTGCAAATATTTTTTGTGTGTATCCAGAAACTGTGACTGTGAGTGTGAGTGTGACACTGGTGACAGCAAAGAAGGACTCTCTTCTTGGCCACTGTCTGGCCGGCCGTGGATGGACCATTGGTGATCTGCTGTCTACCTAATTACTATGATTGCACTTGTTTCCAACACCCAGCGAGTTCTCAAATAACGCCAGGACAGTAGTATCTCCGAGTTTGCCTTTCAGGGTGAAAATCCGAGACGCCGGTGCTGACTGTTCCGGCGGTAGAATGCAGAGAAAGTAAGTAAGAGTTGCACCTAGCTAGCGAGCCTGTGCGTTTCCACCGTGTAGCTACGTAACGTTTTGCAGCTTTGCTAGAGTTAGCGAACGGAGGGCATCACACTGCGTCCAGTTTGGGAGCTGCGCTTGAGTGACGATACTGCTTGCTTAGGCTCACTGCGGCTGGAGGGATCATCATGGGTTTTCTGGAGCTGGTCCGCAGAACTGATCCCTACGTCCTGTGGGTGTTGGCAATGATGCTGGCAGCGTATTTGCTGAATCAGCTGGATCGCTACACGTACCCGATCACATCCAAGGACGTGTCGCGTGAGCTGATGTTTGGCGATATGCAGTGCTATAGCAGTGGCTACCTGAGCAACTTCACAGACATGGTCTGCTCAGATGCCGTGCTGCTGAGAGGACGGTCGGACAACTACTGGAACGCGACCGACGACCTGGCGTGCCGCAACCTGACCATGATGGTGGTGAACGGCACGCGCCCGTTCGACTACGCGCAGGAGCCGTGCAAGTGGGACTACAACGGGCAGGGCGCGAAGTACCAGATCCTGGCCGGCACCTACTTCATTCTGATCTATACGTTTGCCGGCATTCCGCTCGGGTTCCTGGCGGACACCGTCAATCGCAAGGTCATGCTGTCGATTGCGCTCTTCTTCTGGAGTCTGGTCACCGTACTGACTGGCTTGGCACAGAACTATACTCAACTTGTCGTGCTGCGTATGGCGCTTGGTCTCGGAGAGGCCGGCTGCACGCCCATGGCCGTCAGTATCCTGTCGGACTACTTCCCGGCCGACCTGCGCGGCTCGGCGCTGGGCGTTTACAACTGGGGCATCTACACCGGCTACAGCATGTCCTACGCACTGGCCAATGGCGTGAAAAGCACGCTCGGCTGGCGGTATGTCTTCTACATCTCCGGTGCCATTGGCCTGGGCGTAGCACCGCTAATATTCCTCACTGTCAAGGAGCCGAAACGTGCCAGCAATGCTGCAAGCAGTGAAACCTCACTGGCACCTCGGGAGGATTGGCGGAAGAAAGCCGTCACGCTTTTCTTCCAGTTCATCCGTCCGTCGGTGCTACTTCTGTGCTTTGCCGGCAGTATACGCAATGGTGGTGGCTACGTCTGGGCGTTGAATACAGAGAACTTCTTTGAGGCACGTGGCCAAACGGCCGACGATATCAACAAATTCATGTCATGGATCCCGCTGGTTGCTGGGTCGCTTGGTGCTCTGTTTGGCGGGTTCATCAGCGATCGTTTGGTTGCCAAGCGTGGCTTGCAGGCTCGCATATGGGTGCTGGTCATAAGCCAAGTGGTCGCTGCACCGTTTGCCGCCGGTGCTTTGCTCCTGCCTGAGCCATACGGCTACCTGTGCCTCATACCCAGTAACATTATCGGGGAGATGTGGGTTGGCGTGACCATCGCAATTCTTGTCGAGCTCGTGCCAACGCGCCTGCGTACATCCTCGGTCGCCGTTTACCTGTTCATCATTTCCAACATAGGCGGCAACATGAATTTGCTTGTGCCCAGCTTAAAAGGCCACTTCAGCGCGGAGTCTGGAGCGTACATTCCACTGCGCAACGCCCTGCTGATAATGTTCCCGGGAATGTACTTGCTAAGCAGCATACTCTTCCTCTGCGAAGTGTTCGTGCTGCGTCTGGACAAACAGCGACGCGAGGAAGAGAACGTGGATGACCGTGCGGAGGAATTGGACTCTGAGGGTGCGCCGCTGATGGAAAACGAAGCCGTCGACTATGGTGAACCGCTACTGGAAACGGTGATGACAGAGGAAAGTCAGGAATAGCCTGTCGCTGCCCTGATTATACAGAGCCTGCGGGTGCAGACTCGACGGGGTGTGGCCCGAGGTGCATCTGAAGCTGTTCTCAGCGGGCTCAGCATACCTCACATCCGGCAGCTGACAACACTAGTGAAAACTGGAAAAAATGTTGGTGTCGAAACCGGAGGAATTTTCTAGTTGCCATCTCGAGCATGCTTGAAACCAGTCAACCCATGCCTTGGATTTAAAGCAAGCTTGCCTGTAGATGTCACCAAGAGTCCATAAACAAGAGTATGCAACTGTGATCTCTTTTCTATGGGCCAGATGCACGGCGCGCTACCTTCATTACATCATTCAGCTGCAGTCCGCGCACTGCGGGAAATCAAACACCGCACTTTCCCTCTGGTTTGAAATGAACTTTCGTACGGAACTGGAGTTTATGCGCCAAATTTAGAGATCTTGTAGGCACTGGAACGAATCAAGCAAAAACGGTTGGGCTTGACGAGAATTTTTTTTTTTTTTTTTTTTTTTGAGTGCATGCTTTCAGAGCGTGATGGAGGCAAAATGACGTAATGAAGGCAGCGCGCCGCGCACCAACCCATAACCACAGTTGCATACTCTTGTTTATGCACTCTTGATGTCACTGGTGTGTTTCAGTATGACATCATCGTACAGGCTTTGTGCGCCATCCGCGTGAGATCAATATACCACCGTGCGCTCAGGCTATTTGCCACCTCTTTCGGTCGTCCCATATTTGTGGCCCTACTATCCGTAATAGATCTCAGAAGTCTCCCTCGTGATTCTTCAAATATTCCGTTTGCCGTGCTGAAAGAGTGCAGTTGATCTTGCGTATACAACGTAGAAACACTCCAGCAGCCCGGCTTCGTCACAGCTGAGATCATACTGAGCTATGAAGTAACGCTAGATGCCACGGCTTGGTGTTTGAAAAAGAGATTTGGAAACAGCCGTCATGAGCGTTGTGTTGAGCAGCCGGGCGCTACTATCAAGAGCTTTAACTGGTGTCAGATGACCTCTTGCTTGGTTTGATCCTAGTCTGATCTTTCGCTTTTATACAGGGATGCCGGAACCGGCGTGGCAGGTGCGGCCAAAGCTGCATCACTACAACTTCTGGGAATACGTTCCGACACTCCCATTACTAGTATACTAGGCTAAGATAGTTTTGCTCTGACGGCGATATCACGGTATACATGTACATCTGTGTTTGCACTCCCTGCCGCTTGTCCGGCATGCTCAGGTTGGTTTGTGTGGAACTGGTGCTGAAGGTGGTCCCCGTATCCTTAGCTGCCGTTGGAACTGTGCATTGTCCATACAGTCATGTTTATATGGACCGAGTACTACAGTTGCCACGGTAGCCAGAGAAATCCAACCCATGCCGAAAGCAGCACCAAGGCTCATTCGGCCCCTGTTACCCTCAAATGGGTTTTCAAGTGGACCGTGTATGATGAAATGGAAACGCGGCGGCGCTGCTCAAGTTGTGGGTTGTGGGTTGGGTTTCTTTGACCACGACTGTCTCGGTCACGATGGTGATGACAGCACAAGGTGGAGGACACACTGAACAGAGAAACTGTGACAGTGTTCCTCACTGCAACCAGAGTGCAGTTGGTAGGGTCCCGGTCTTGCAGGCATGATCATGGTCAAAATACATGTACCCGGTACATGATTGTACATTGTAGGTTATTACTAATAACCTACAATGTACTACAGGATTGTAATAATACATGTACATGTATTAGTATTACTCCCTGGTCGCAATGCCCCGGCCGGGGGAGGGGCGGGGGTACCGGGTACACGCAAATCCACACGGCCGCGCACGCGCACGGGGTGGTGAATTTTTTTTAAATAATTAATTACTTGTATTAAAGTTGTATATTAATTTTTAAATAATTGTTTTTACGATTTTCCCAAAGCGCGCGAAAATAGAACAACATGTCACATCGCATATCGATCGAGAAATCCCCCACGTAGAATCTACTGGCACTTCACTGCATGCATAATTATCAAGAGTCCACCATGGTTATGGACTCTTGTCTTGATAATCAAGAGTCCATAACCCAAGAGTATGCAACTGTGATTATGGGTGCATGCGTGGCGCGCTGCGTAACTTACTTGCCTTCATCACGCTCTGAAAGCATGCATTCAACTCTCTCAATAATTTCTCGCACGAGCGCTCGAGCTTGCCCATCCGTTTTTGCTCGATTCGTGGGTTCCGGGTTATGGACTCTTGTTGATTATGCACTCGCCCGTGATCGTGGCATGAGTCAGAGTACTACCGGTACCGGTAGATCTACGCGGTATGCATTTCGCGGCGCGGCTGCACTGACGATCATGACGAAAGTGACGCAGCTCAGGTCTACAGAAAATGCACTGATTTGATTTGGACTCATTTGATGTTCGGTGAATGGGCTTTTTCAAGTCTGTTTTTTATTTTTCATTGGATGATTGCTGTTTGCAGAAGCTAAAATGAGCAACGACGTATTATTCTAAACATCAGCGTTACTTACTTATGGAGACTGTTGCTGTCTGCTGCACTGCGTGCGGAGAGGTGGTAAACCATGGCTCAGCAAGGACGCATCCAGTACTCAACATTCTCATGTGCAAGGTAAGAGAGAATTAATATTTCATTCTTCGCATACCGGTAGCTACATGACTGCATTCGACGAGTTCCGCCAGTATCTTCTGGACTTCTACAACTGAAGCTTGTTGTGTATTTAGACAAATCAGAGCCATCTAGTACTATCAGCCAGATCCTCAGAGGGCGATAGCAATAATGTCCGTAACGTGATATGTGGGTCTGGTGAGCATTTGTAAAAAAAAAACACGTTCAAAGTAGTGCGAAAACACATGATCGCTTTTGAAATTATATGCATTCGAATGCCCATGTTGATGTAGGTATTGTCCCACAGCATGTACTAGTGCGCCATTACTTCTAATCAGTTACCAGTAGCTGCTATTTTGTTTTGAAGATTAGTGGTACAGTCAGACCTCGCTTAACCGCACACATCCGTTTTCCACAAAAATATCCGGATAGGCGAGGGAACCGGATAATCGAACACACACACTGGGTGTGTGCATAGCATTGCTGTAAATCGGTGACCAACAATTTTCTTCCGGATGGCGAGGGATCCGGATAAACGAGGTCTGACTGTAGTAAATTGCAAAATGTCTCGTCGAAGTGGTGGGAGTCAGTCTGCCGAAGTGCAGTTTGGGTGGGTGTTATGAGAATCCATGGGACTGGCATTCGTGCTATCTCGATATGGCAGTCTTGACCGTCTGCGTGTACCGAGTGCACACGTTTGTTAGATACACGTGTGGTGCTGCCGGCTGGTTGAAGCTATGTATCTGTGTGTTTACTCAATCTGTGGACAGAAGTGTTTCGTCCTCTGTGGACTCATCAGCGCAGCACAGAGAAAACGAGGCCGGACCTGATAGCAGTGAAAAATAATTTTTCCAGTGCCAGATTTAAACCAGGCCCAAACGTACCTTGCCATACAAGTCAGTGAGCTCTGTCTATCTGTCTATCTAATACTATGTATCTCTGTGTGTGCCTCTAGGTGTGTCACCGACAGTTCAAGCGCACCAAGTTTGTCGCAGAAGACGGCGAGAATCAGGACACATGCCAGCTATGCGCCAGCGAGAGGACAGATGCACAGCTGGTCTGCTGCGACAGCTGCCCGTTTGTCTTCTGTACTTGCTGCATCCATCTGAACTTGGGGTTTGTCGGCTTGCAGAAAGTGGTGGCGTCGGACGTCTGGAGCTGCTTCAGCTGCGAGCCACAGGCGATTGCCCCTCTGCAAGAACTGTGTGCTGTGACACTGGGCCAGAAGAAAGGCAAAGCTCGCAAGCGGCGACGGCAAGATGTCAGCGAGGACTCCCTCAGCGACTCATGTGAACAATGTTCACCAGCCTTGAAACGCGAAAGAAAGCCAGAACCCATGGCTAGAGCAGCTGCAGCAGCAGCATTAGAAACAGCGGAAACTACAGCAAATTCGGTATCAGTTGCTACAGTGCAGGAAGCTGCGGGGACTAACTCCATTGGGCATGGCAGCGGAGATTCGCAGACCAAAGCGGTAATTATACGGCCGCAGATATTCTACTCAACTAGCCACTCGGATAGCGATGGGATTGCTGTAGTGGAGAACACTCAACGCCATAAGCAGCGTACCAGCCACGGTCGATCCAACAATCTGCTTGCGACAAGTAATGATGATGATGATGATGGGGATGATGATGTCGCCGCCAAGGTCCCCAGTGATGCTGATGATGATGGCATGAACGCCGCCTCACCAGCACCGGCGGACCAGCGTAACCAAACACCAGAAGTCGACAGCACTGTCCGCAAGTCTGAATCCGATGCTGACGTCGGGCAAAATGTTTGTTCGGAGGACGCCGCAGATACGATGCCTAACAAGACGAGAGTGAGCCGATGGGGCCTTCGGCGGCGAAAGCGCCGCAAACTCAAGGTGAAGAAAGCTGGTGCGTCTTCTTCTAGCGTTGGATCGCAGAGAAGTGACGTCGAGCCGCCGGATCAGACAGCATTGCAGCCGGTCAGCGAACGGGAAGAGGTGCCCGAACGTGACGTCTGCCGTGCGTCCGATGACAGTGAACCTGGCGATGTCGCGGCGCAACGCCATGCGCATCAGCAGCCCGATGTGGAAGATCCACCGGAGGATAGTGCACGCTCCAGTTCTGAGCACAGTGTGTCCCGGGAAAAGGTTAGCTCTGTGCGTTCAGCCCGTCGTCGACGGCACCAGCAGAAGGCAAAGCACCAGCAGGCTGGGTCTCGGACTCGTTCGCCTATGAGAGAGGATGGTGACAGTGGTCCACACTTAGATGGTGATATGTCACCAGAGATGGCAGCATCACCGGCACCTGTGCCGCAAAGCAATCACGATAGTCCGGCTGAAGTGGATGTTGCTGTGCCGACCGTGAAAAAGGAGATTAAGGATACGGACAGTGAAGGCACTGGCCGTGGTGTCGCTACAACAGTCAATGGTGCTGGTGACACACGGCTGACCCCTACGACATGTCGCCGCAGTTTTAGCCGCCGACAACCATCCAACGGTGTTGCCGAGGGACTGGAAAGCAGTCCTACTGCAAGCAGTGGTGGTGGTGCTGGTTGTCCTGGTAATCGTAGTAGCGGACCGAAGAAGGACAGCGTGTTTATACTGATTGATAGCTCTGACAAGTCATCTGCATCTGCCAATAATACGGATGCCAATGTAGAAGGCACCCAGCGATCAGACGCACCGGAGTTTTCTCAAGAAGCCAGCCCTGACAGTCCTATTGTCTACTCGCCATCGCCAAGTCCTGGTCATCACTCAGGAGACAGCCCAGCAGCTGGCAGTCCCGTTGCAGACCGCGCGAGTGTGCTGCCACGAAAAGCGTCAACTTCTTCCTTTTCTGCCATGGAGGATTGTCGCCCAGGTGGTGGTGCTGGAATATCACGTGATGCACGCAAGACATCCAGGTCGTCAACGGAGGAACTGTCTTCTGATTTCGAGGTCCAGCTGAGGAAATTGTCGCCGAGAAAGCCAGCAGACCCACCACTCTCTCAAGGTGCCTGGTCGTCATCAGCTGAGAAAGTGTGTGACGAGGACGCCAGTGAGACTAGACATTCGTCCCCAGCAGCTCCGGCATTGAATACACCGCCAGCGGGTCGCAAGCGGAAGCAAGCTACGCCTAGGAAAAGGACGGAGGATGCCCTACACCAGCAAGCTTCTCCACGGCCCCAACAGAAGGCCAAGCCGGGAAGGAAACGCCATACTTTCTTTATGACAAGCTCCGAGTCTGAGCTCAGCGATCTCTCAGACTCTGATAAGTCTGGCCAAGACGAAGGCAACAACAGCTCGAATGACAGCGCTGGCTTCCAGGCATCTCCGTCTCGGAGACTGCTTGAATCTTCTGATGAGTTTTCCGATACTGGAGCAGAGGCCGAGGCCGAAGAGGAGAGTCCGCTGAGTTTGTCATCGTCGAGTGATGATGATACTCCACTTTCTATGCGTACCAGGTCAACAGCTGCACAGCGGAAAGGTAAGGAGGAGGGGGGGGGGGGGGGGCATTGGTTTTATATGACAAACATGGCTGAATACATGTAGTAAAACAAGACTAGCCACTTCTGGATTCGCTCTTCCACAGCTTTAGTGCCAGATCACACATATGCACTTGGGTGTGAGCATTATTATGGCAACTGCGGAAAGGAGAAGTTCTTTTGATGCTAACCAGATCAGGAGTGTC